TGCCACAGACACTTTGCAAAAAGTCTGTGTCAAACCAGTTTGGTGTCTCAGACAGATTTCAGATGGGCCTTTGTTAGACCAGTGAGTGCCTCAGGCAAACTGCATCGGTGCCTTTGTTAGACCAGAACGGTGCCTCAGATATGTTGTACAGGGGCATTTGTCAAATCAAATTGGCGCCACAGGCACTCTGCAAAGGGACCTTGTTAGATAAAATTGTTGCATCAGACAAACTGCACAGTGTCTTTTGACAGGCCGGATGTGTGTCTCAGACAGATTTCAGCTGGGCCTTTGTCAGACCATTTTGATGCCTCAGAAAAAACAACATAGGTGCGTTTGTCAGACCAGATCAGCGCTTCAGACACATTGCACTGGGGCCTTTGTCAGATAAAATCACTGCTGGACACAGACTGCACAGAGGCCACTGTCAGACCAGATCAGTGCCTTAGACAGACTGCACAGGGGCGTTTATCAGACGGGATCGGTGCCTCAGACACACTGCACTCTGCCATTTTCAGAACAGATGGGTGCCTCAGAGAGATTGCAGGGGCCTTTGTCAGACCAGATCTGTGTGTCAGACACACTGCAGTGGGGACTTTGTCAGACCAGATCAGTGCCTCAGACACAGTGCACAGGGCCCTTTGTCAGATCAAATCGGTGCCTCAGACAGACTGCAGAGGTGGCTTTGACAGACCAGGTCTGTGCCTCAGACATACCTCTGAGGGGCCTTTGCCAGACAAAATCTGAACATCAGATAGATTGCATCAGGTACCTTTGTCAGATTAGACTGGTGGCTGAGACAGACTGCAGAGGTGTGTTTAACAGACCCAGATCAGTGCCTCAGATACACTGCTCATGGGCTTTTGTCAACAGATGGGTGTTTCACACAGACTGCAGAGGGGTCTTTTGTCAGACCAGATCGATAACAGTTATACAGTGTAGAGGAGCTCTTGTAAGACCAGATAGGAACCTCAGACACTGCAGAGGGGCCATTGTCAGACCACATTGGTGCCTCATATACATTGCAGAGGGGACCTTGTAAGTGCAGATGGGAGCCTCAGACACTGTAGAAGTGCTTTTAACAGACTAGATTGATCCTTTTGATAGCCGGCAAAGGGTCCTTGTCAGACAGATCAGTGTCTCAGACAGACTGCAGTGGGGGCTTTGTCAGTCCAGATCAGTGCCTCAGACACAATGCACAGGGGCCTTTGTCAGACCAGATAGGTGCCTGAGACTGACTGCAGAGGGCCTTTGTCAGACTACGTTGGTGCCTCAGACACACTGAACAGTGGCTTTTGTCAGACCAGAATGATACCACATATACACTGCAAAGGGGACTTGTAAGGACAGATAGGAGCCTCAGAGTTGGCAGAGGGGCCATTGTCAGTCTGATTTGGTGCCACATATACATTGCAGAGTGGCCCTTGGCAGACGAGATGGGAACTTCAGACACTGCAGAGGGGCTTTTGACAGACCAGATCGGTGCCTCCGACAGATGGACAGGGGCTATATCGATGCCACATATTGACTGCAGAGGTGCCCTTGTAACAGTAGGTAGGAGCCTGAAGCACTGTAGAGGTCCCATTGACAGACCAGATTGGTACATCAGATAGATTTTGTCAGACAAAATCGGTGCCTCAGACAGCTGCAGAGCGGCCTTTATCAGAGCAGATCTGTGGGTAGACACAACGCAGAGGGACCTCGATCAGACTAGATCGGTGTCTCAGACAGACTGCACAGGGGCCTTTGACAAGCAACATCAATGCCACATATTGACTACAAGGAGCCCTTGTAAGACTAAATGGGAGTCTCAGACATTGTAGAGGGGCCCTTGTCAGACTTTTTGGGCCTCATATCGCCTTTGTAACAGCAGATGGGAATCTCAAACACTGCAGAGTGTTTGACAGACAAAATTGGTGCCTCAGACAGACTGCAGAGGGGCCCTACTCAGAGCAGGTCTGTGTGAGTAGAGACACCACCTTAGTCAGACAAGATCAGTGCCTTATACGTACTGCACAGCAGCCTTTGTCAGAACAGATTGGTGGCTCAGACACTGTACAAATGGGCCTTTGTCAGACCAGTTCGGTTTGTAGACACACTGCACACGGGCCTTTGTCAGACCAGTTTGGTTTGTAGATACACTGCACATGGGCCTTTGTCAGAACAGATTGGTTCCTTAGACACACTGCATCGGGGGCTTTGTCAGTCCAGATCGGTGCCTCAGACAGACTGCTCAGGGCCCTTTTTCAGATAGGGGCGGCACGGTGGTTCAGTGATTAGCACTGCTGTCTCACAGTGCCAGGGACCTGGGTTCAATTTCAGACTCGAGGGACGGTCTGTATGGAATTTACACATTCTCCCCGTGTCTGTGTGGGTTTCCTCCGGGTGCTCCGGTTTCCTCCCACAGTCCAAAGATACGCAGGCTAGGCGGATTGGCCATGCTAAATTGCCCGTAGTGTTCAGGGATGTGTAGATTAGGTGGGTTATAGGGTGATGGGTCTGGGTGAGATGCTCCGAGGGTTGGTTTTGGACTTGTTGGGCCAACGGGCATGTTTCCACGCTGTAGGGATTCTATGATCTATGATAATGGCTAATATGATTCTGAACCCTATTCTCTTGACTTCTTCCTGTTACCCTTGATATCCATACCAAACAAGAACCTAGCTATCTCTGTTTGAAATATAGCCATTACTTGGCCTCTGCAGCCTTCTGCAGCACTCAGTTCCACAGATTAACCACTCTGTGTCTGAAGAGATTATCCAGATCATCAATATACAATGCAAACAGTTATGGTCCCAGCACTTCCTGCAGAACTTCACTAATTAGCTGCTGTTATCTTGAGAAAGACACCTTTATCCTCATTCTGTCTGCTGCCAGTCAGTCAGTCCTCTGTCCTCCATTGTCTCTAATATCATGGGCTCTTATCATATTTGGAGACAGTAAGGACTGCAGGTGCTGGAACACAGAGTCATTGGTGTGAAGCTGGAAAAGCACAGCAGATCAGACAGCACTTGAGGAGCAGGAAAGTCAACGTTTCTGGCTGAAACCCTTCGTCAGGACTGGGGTGGGGGGAGAGCCCAGAAGTAAATGGGAGGGTGGGGCTCGGGGAAAGGTAGATGGGATGATGATGGGTGGCTGCGTAGGGGGTTATTGTGATAGTCAGTGGGAAGGATGGAGCAGGTAGGTGAGTAGGAAGGTGGATAAGTTAGGTCAGGTCAGGGAGGCGACGGGGGCATCTGGACAAAGGCTAAGGCTGGGTGTGGAGTGATTTTGAAGCTGGTGAAGTCAATATTGAGGCCATTGGGATTAAGTTTCCAAGGCAGAATATCAGGTGTTGTCCCTTTTAGTTTTCCTAATCTCCTTTTTCTGTTCTCTCTTGCATATTCTCTTTTATGGCATCTGCAGTTTTGAGCCCTTGGTATCTGCCATAAGCTTTCCCTTTTCTCTTATTCAATACTGAATATTTCCCAACGTCCATCGGTCACGGGATTTGATTGTCCTACCCCTTTTCTTTATTAGAACATGTTTACCCTGTCCTGTCCATTGTTCCTTATTCAATACATCCTACTGTTCTGAGACAGATTTGCCTGAAAGTATCTGCTCCCAGTGCATTCAGGCCTAATCATATCCAATCTTATTAGATCGTTCTTCCCCCAATAAGAACTTTGATTTTAGTCCTACCCTTGTTCTTTACCACAGCAGTCTTTAATCTACAGGAGTTATGACCACAGTCTCAAAAGTATTCCTCAACCGATACTTCAATCAATATGTACCACGATCTCCATCTGTTGCCTTTCCCCTTCAGAATGCCATGCAGACCCTCAGTGACATCCCGACCGTCACACCAGGAAGGCAATATACTATCCTGCTCACAGAAACACTTGCCTGTACCCCTCACATGGCATCCTTTACAACTGCAGCACCACTATTCTTTCTCCTCCCTGCATGTGCAGCAGACCCACCCATTGTGCCATGAAGTTAGCTCCTCCTACTTTCCCTTGCTGCCATCTCTCCAAATTGTATCCAAAATGGTATATTTATTAGAAAGACGAATGGCCACAGGGGACACCTGCAATACCTGCCTTCCTCTACTTTGCCCAGTAGTCACCATGCCCTTCCTTCCCCTATATCAATTCATGGGATGAGGGTGTCATTACCTACGCCAGCATTTATTGCCCACCCCTAATTGTCCAGAGGGCAGTTAAGAATCAACCACATTGCTGTGGGTCTGGAGTCACATGCAGTCCAGACCAGGTAGGGATGGCAGTTTCCTTCCCTAAAGGACATTAGTGAACCAGGTGAGTTTTGCTAACAATCAGTGATGGATTCGTGGTCATCATTAGACTCAATTCCAGATTTGTTTATACTGAAGTCTACTTCCACCATCTACCATGGCGGGATCTGAACCCGGGTCCACAGAAGATTATCTAGGTCTATAGATTAAAAGCTCATCGATAATGCCATGAGACCATCACCTCCCTCTGTTCTGCCTGTTCAATCTGTGGTATGGCCACCTCAGCGTGTGACCGTGAGATCCACAACTTGCTCAGCATCGTAGAAGCTCCATAATGAATTCACCTGCAGCTCCAACTCCAAAAGGTGGTTCACCAGCATCTGCAGCAGAACGCATTTCCTAGAAATGTTGTCACCGGGTACAAGGAAGATTTCATGCTTTGTCACACACGGAGAATGAGCACATCATGAATGTCAGTTCTTTTGCAATGATTTATCATAAGTAATTCTTTTAAAAAAAATTATAATCATTATGCTTGTGTAAGAACGTTGTTTGCTTACATTCCTGATGTTGAATGTAATTCTCTTACCGTACTTTGGTTACTTATATTTATTTACTGTATTGGCGCTGGCTTTCAATTTTTTTTTCAGCTTTTTCTAATTAATCCCTTCTCGAAAATAGTTTTCTTTTTAAAATCACAGAGTAAGCAACACACCACTTTCCCATGAGGTCACTGTCTTTGTTTGCTTTCCCAATCATCAGTCTCTGAATGTGCAGCCGTTAAACTAGAAATCCCTCTCTCTGCTCGTTTGACGCTGAAAAATATAACCTTATAAACAACAAACCCTGAAAATGACCTTATAAACCATGAACAAGAAAAAAAGACAGCTCTTCCCTTTTGCACAGAACTCCAATGGTGTATTAAATTTCCAGCAACACACACTCACTTGGGTGGCACCTCACTCTGGATATGCCTTTTCCCAACTGCTTGTCTGATGCGTACTGTCTGTTTCTTTCTCGGTGATGAAGAAACTCCATGAGTTCTGATCACTTGTTGGAGGTGAGGATGGAGGATATAGTGGAGATGGAGAGCCCTTCAAAACAAACTGATCTGCCTTAGTGATACGATAAAGGCTTGATGTACCATAGTTTTAACAAAGAGTTGATTTATACTATTTTGATCCCAAATAAATAACGGGACTGCATTCATCAGTAACAGACATCAGAAAACATGGTTTGGAGTTGGACGTCAATAGAATCAAAATCCAACCCCTACAGTTAATTGGGAAGTCATTAACAGAAATCCTTGTGTGTGAAAAAGGCAAACACTTTTCACACACTGTGCCAGTGAACAGGCTGTCCACAGTGTGAAATTGTTCATGTACAGGGACATTACGATAATTAATATACTTTATTGAGAATGGTTTAATAATACCAGTTCAAGTGGGCGAATGACCATGGATCATTCCTTGTTGTGAATAAGAGCAAAAACCTTCAGCTGTGTTTTGTTTTGTAAATTCACTGGTATGTGAACAGGGTGAAATATCAAGAGAACTCTGTCCCATACACAGAGCATAACAACGGTTTCTCCCCAGTCTCAGCAGGTTGGATACCGAGTGAATCCCCCCTAACACTGGGAGCAGTTGAATGGTTTCAGTGCAATGTGTATCCGCTGACAGTTTAAGTGACCGAGAGAATGCGTTCCCACATTCAGAACAGGGGAATGTTTTTCTCTCCAGTGTGAACTCGCTGGTATTCTAGCAGGTAGTAAGAATCTGCAAAGCTTTTTCCACACTCAGCACTGGTGAATGGTCTGTTTCCACTGTGAACTCGCTGGTGTCTCAGTAGGTTGTATGACTGAGTGAATCCCTTCCCACACTTCAGAGCAAGTGACTGGCTTCTCCCCACAGTGACTGCGTTGGTGCCATCTCTAGCAGGGCTTAGAAAACAAATCTCTTCACCAAGTGAGCACATTTCCAGTCTCTCCCCAGTGTCACTGCACTGGCGTTTTGACATTTCAGATGAATGTTTGTAGACTTCCATGTTCAAAATCCTGTGCTAATTATGTTATGATGACAGAACGACTGTCAGATCTAATTGTGACTTGGTTTGAATTCTCTAATAGCAAATCAAGCATTCCAAGGTCAAAAAAAAAAATCGTGAGAGAGAAACCAGAATACACACGGTATGTAAAATTGAGAGATATTAATCTGTTCATTTGTGGAACCGGTACTTGGGGAAATATACTGCCTTGAAACTGTTGGATTATCATTCAAATCCAACCTGGTTCATGCATATTTTACAGGGAAGGGAACCACTCAGTGATCGCACAAAACTACAGAAATAGATAGGGTTGGAGAGGAAGGAGAGGGATTTTATAAATCTACAACTCAACGCTGTTCCCACTTACTCCCTAAACCCTCAAACCCTTTAGTCAGAAGAACTAATAAGAAAAATGCTGGAAGTCTATGTAAAAACAGTAATTGTTGAAGATATTCAGCAGGTCTGGCGGCATCTGAAATGGTGACACATGCAGGAACTGTTGCCACATCTAATAAGTGTTCAGATGAAGCACTATAATACACAACGATACAGGCCAAGTGCTTGAAAGTATGACTGGAGTAAATAGGTACCTGATGACCAGAACGGATAAGATGGCAACATTGTATTCAACAATTTTACATCCGAATCTCTGACACTATTTTGTTTTGTGTTCCTCAATGGTATACAAGGAAAGAGGTTAGGAAAGTTTTACTGCAAAAGAGAGTCCACGTGGAGTATTTAAGAAAGCAGGGCTTCTTCCTCTTCTGAGTTTCTTCATTTTCTGTCTGTGGTCAGATTTGTTTCAAAACCTTCTGTCTCCGAACCAGTTAATCTTTTATGATTTCCAACGGCTTTATGGACTGGTGGAGGAGGAAGGAAAGGGTCTGCTGATAATTACATGCATGGTGTACAATATTCAAATGCATAATTCTGCTTCTATGGCTTTACAGTGAACATGGAAATGCATATATAATTGTTAAAGTCTATTGTACTCTTGCAGTCTATTAAACTCATAACGAGCTCATGCCAACTGCCTGTTTGTCCTCTGATATTTTTTCTGAAGAAGGGTCCAGACCCGAAACGTCAGCCTTCCTGTTCCTCTGATGCTGCTTGGCCTGCTGTGTTCATCCAGCTCTACACCTTGTTATCTCAGATTCTCCGGCATCTGCAGTTCCTACCACCTTTTATAAGACGTTGACTTTCAGAATTCTAACTGTGTCTCCAACTAAATTCTCTGATTCTATTTGAGAGAAATGTAGCTGGCATTTTGCAGTAATCTCTGTGTATTCTATTTTATAGTCGTGTCAATGCACTTGACAAATGTTCAATTCAATACAACGTAAACATGAGACGTGCAGCAGTTACACTCCTGGCTTTCTCCAATTAGTATGAATAATGTACAAGATTAAAACATCTACATGCTCCCTAGACACTGGCAAGATGTATAAAAGGTACGCATTTTCAGTTCAGTGCAGAGCGCACGGGAGTTCTGTTGGAAATGCATGGTTCATTAAATGATCTGCTATTTGCAATTTACTATCCCGTCATTGGTGCTGTTGGGCTTACAGGTGAAGTGTTGCATGTAGTTAATAGTTAAGGGAAGCATTGTTTCGCTGTACCACATAAATTATTTACAATATTTTTTTCTGTGTTGTACCACTAGTTTTCCAAATAATTGGTAGTTTTTTATTCTTTCTAACTATTGTTATTTCCACTTTCACAGCCTCAACTTTTGCCTGCTTTCTATGTACTAATTATGTTTATTTTATTGGCATAAATACTCATCATGTTGATTTTACTTACACTAACAGTGTTATTTCTCTCCCCTTGCCCAGCATAAATTCTTCCCGTTGCTTTATTTTCCCTCGATAAAAGCATATAATATTTCCTGGACAAGTAGCATTTCATACCCTTGATTGTTTATATTTTCCAAACGTTGCAGCAGCATAAAAGTAGATCTATTTTCTTCTGTGCAAAGATGTAGTTGTATTTTGTTTTTAATGTAATGACTAAATGATCTGATGTCGCCATGCCCTGTATAATGCTCCAACCTTTAGAATTGGAACTGTTTGATTGAAGGGCTCTCAGTGGAACAGAGTAGCAGGGATATAACTCATCAGTTGTTGTGACAGTCTTTTAGTTTTGAAACTCAACTATAGGGCTTGAACGCATTACATTCTAATTCAAATACTCTACAGCTAACTGAGCTGCTGCTGAGCCTTTAAATCTCAAACTATGTATGAATATGCTGTTCTGGAGTCCTTATCTATGTCAAATGTAAACAATTATCAGTCAGGAAAATTAAATTGAATTCAAAAGTGCTCATTCAGTTCTCATTCAAATGACCTTTTTCCCAAAGTACTAGCCTATTATAGATTTTTGACCCTAAGTGAAGCACTTTATATTTCTCTGAAATATTGAAGGTTTTTACTGTATTTCTGACATTTCCATAATTGAAATTATATTCATGTTCCTTGAATTTGACGACATCACAGACTGGTCTCGAATTTGTTATTTCTACACATTGCCTTAGGGCAGTGTTGTTTGTGTTTAAGGTAACCATGTCAGAATGTAATATATTCGACATTCGCAATAGGAATGAGCTGTATTATTACTGAGAGTATAATACTGTACTGAGAGTCTTATGTATTTTCAATGTTTTTTTCCCTCATGCCTTGAACTGAAAAGTCACAGATCTGAACTGGAAGGTTTAAATATAGAACATAGAACAGTACAGCACAGTACAGGCCCTTTGGCCCATGATGTTGTGCCAAAGTTTTACCCTAAACCTAAGGTCTATCTAACCTCCATCCCTACAAAGAAGAACAAAAAACAAAGAAAATTACAGCACAGGAACAGGCCCTTCGGCCCTCCAAGCCTGTGCCGATCCAGATCCTCTATCTAAACCTGTCACCTATTTCCCAAGGATCTGTATCCCTCTGCTCCCTGCCCCATTCATGTATCTGTCTAGATGCATCTTAAATGATGCTATCGTGCCCACCTCTACCACCTCTGCTGGCAATGCATTCCAGGCACCCACCACCCTCTGCGTAAAGAACTTTCCATGCATATCTCCCTTAAACTTTTCCCCTCTCACCTTGAAATCGTGACCCCTAGTAATTGAGTCCCCCATTCTGGGAAAAAGCTTCTTGCTATCCACCCTGTCTATACCTCTCATGATTTTGTCGACCTCAATCAGGTCCCCCCCAACCTCTGTCTTTCTAATGTAAATAATCCTAATCTACTCAACCTCTCTTCATAGCTAGCACCCTCCATACCAGGCAACATCCTGGTGAACCTCCTCTGCACCCTCTCCAAAGCATCCACATCCTTTTGGTAATGTGGCGACCAGAACTGTATGCAGTATTCCAAATGTGGTCGAACCAAAGTCCTATACAACTGTAACATGACCTGCCAACTCTTGTACTCAATACCTGGTCCAATGAATGAAAGCATGCCGTATGCCTTCTTGACCACTCTATTGACCTGCGTTGCCATCTTCAGGGTACAATGGACCTGAACACCCAGATCTCTCTGTGCGTCAATTTTCCTCAGGGCTTTTCCATTTACAATATGGTTCGCTCTTGAATTGGATCTTCCAAAATGCATCACCTAGCATTTGCCTGGATTGAACTCCATCTGCCATTTTCCGCCCAACTCTCCAATCTATCTATATTCTGCTGCATTTTCCGACAGTCCCCTTCACTATCTGCTACTCCACCAATCTTGGTGTCATCTGCAAACTTGCTAATCAGACCATCTATACCTTCCTCCAGATCATTTATGTATATCACAAACAACAGTGGTCCCAACACGGATCCCTGTGGAACACCACTGGTCACAGTTCTCCATTTTGAGAAACTCCCTTACTACAACTCTCTGTCTCCTGTTGCTCAGCCAGTTCTCTATCCATCTGGCTAGTCCACCCATGCGACTTCACTTTCTCCATCAGCCTACCATGGGGAACGTTATTAAACGCCTTATTGAAGTCCATGTATATGACATCTACAGCCCTTCCCTCATCTGTCAACTTTGTCACTTCTTCAAAGAATTCTATCAAGTTGGTAAGACATGACCTTCCCTGCACAAAACCATGCTGCCTATCACTAATGAGCCCATTTTCTTCCAAATGTAAATAGATCCTATCCCTCAGTATCTCCTCCAGCAGCTTCCCCACCACTGACGTCAGGCTCACCGGCCTATAATTACATGGATTACCCTTGCTACCCTACCTTATACTATCATTTATATGCCTATCTAATTGCCGCTTAAATTCCCCTAATGAGGCCGACTCCACTACCCTCACCGGCAATGCATTCCTCACCCCTACCACTCTCTGAGTAAAGAACCTATCTCTGACGTCTCCCCTATATCTACCTCCACTCATTTTAAAACTATGCCCCTTCGTAATAGCTACCTCCATCCAAGGAAAAAGTCTCTGGCTGTCCACTCTATCTATACCTCTGATCATTTTGTACACCTCTATCAAGTCACCTCTCATCCTTCGTCGTTCTAAAGAGAAAAGCCCTAGCTCTCTCAACCTTTCCTCGTACGACCTTCCATCCATTCCAGGCAACATCCTGGTAAATCTCCTCTGCACCTTTTCAAAAGCTTCCACATCTTTCCTGTAATGAGGTGACCAGAATTGGATACAATAATCCAGATGTGGCCAAACCAGGGTTTTGTATAGGTTTTGTTTGTCCTCTCTTTGGAATCCCTGCCAGAATTGTGATTATTCCAACATTACTCATCACACACTTATCTCTCTCTATCATTTACTCATGCTCTGTATATTTTTGAACAGTTAATCTGGCAGTGACAGTTATCCTTTCTCGAGGAAAGTGTGGTCTCTCCAGATGTATGACGCACTACGTGATGTCCATGGCAGTGACGGATCTCCTCGTTATGATCACAGCTGTGGTTTTAAACCGAATTGTGGGTACTTACTTCCCATTCAGCGTTCTATCCATCACTCCAGTCTTTACTATCAATCTGGTGTTACTGTATGGCATCAAAGATTCTGCTGTCTGGGTAACAGTCACTTTCACCTTTGATCGCTTTGTAGCCATCCGTTGCCGAAAGCTGAAGATGAAATATTGCACAGAGAAAACGGCATCCATGATTATAGGAACTGTCTGTACAGTGAACTGCGTTAAAAATATCCCTTTGTACTTTACTTGCGAGCCTTACATTACAATAAACAACATGCCCTATTATTGCAAGTCAAAGTCAACATTTTATACATCTCCTGAATGGATCACAGTTAACTGTATAAATGTTGTCATAACCCCTTGTCTACCATTCATCTTTATTTTGTTGCTAAATGTTCTGACGGCCAGACACATTCAAGCAGCCAGTAGGGCCCGCAAAAGACTCTGGACCCCGAGCAATGGAGACAATGAAAATGATCCCGAGATGGAGAAAAGAAGGAGGTCTATCATTTTACTTTTCTCTGTCTCAGGCAGCTTCATCCTGTTATATTTGATTGAGGTTATAAATTTCTTCTATGTCTGAATTGTGGGCCTCATTTATTTAGAGCGCTCTGACTTCTATCAAGCAAATTTTATTCTGGAGGAGGGTGGGTTTATGCTTCAGCTATTGTGCTCGTGCATCAATCCATTTACTTATGCAGAAACTCAGAGCAAATTCCAAGATGAGTTAAAGAATGTATTGAAATATCCAGTGATTTTAATTCAAGTGATGACAATTGTAAAATTGGATATGGCTTCAACTCTACTGATTGTATTTCTGGCTCATGTCACCTTTTGTCATTCAGAAGCATAGTCAGAAGCATATACAGAATCTTCCCAACTGTGTGAATTAAAGAATATACAAGTAGTTGCCTGGTCTCAGTTAGTGCTTAGTTCTCTTCACTGGGCCATCTCAAACAACACTGAGATATCTTGGAATACGTTGACAATTAAGCAGGTGATGGAGAGTTGATCTCATCAGTTGATAGATTGCAAATGTGCACTGGTTATTTGAGGAATCAATTATCCTTCCTGCATTTTGAAAATAGAATGCGAGCTAAAGGGTGAACAAATATTCTCCTCATACAATTTTCTTCACAAAATTCACACCAGACGACAGCGACTATAGAACTGGAGAATTCATGGAAATTCAAATTAAAATTAGACAATTAAAATGCAAATAAAGCATGCGTTTCAATTTTTGCCTGTTCAAAATTTTCAAGTGACGTGCATTCCCTATGTCCTTAAATATTATAAACGAAATTTACCTTCACTATTCCCTCGAATCAAAGTCATTTGAAGCATGACATAGAGGGCATTTGGAATGTGAGTAGCAGCATTAATGTCAGTATTGCCCGAACATTAGAAGACTTTCTGCCGTCCTGTAACACATAAGGTTCAAAGTTAGAGGCAATATAGCTCACCCTAGCAAATAATATCGACCAGAATCTCGTTGTTGTGACATAAACATTGCTGAAAAAAGCCAGCATTTTATGTGAATCTCTAATCATTTTTACACGTTTCCTCAACCATCTAAAACACAATGATTTAGCAGGACTTTTCAGGTGGAACTGGATTCATTTCATTGCATAAGCAACCTTCAAGAATATGAGACTAGGTACGGGTGGAAGATGTTCATAAGAAGAAATAGAATTAGTCATTCAGTCCATTGAGTCTGCTCGTTCTGTCATTTAATGAGATTATGGTTGACCAGTTAACCCTCAAAGCCATTCTGTCTAAGACTTCAATCTAGCAGCAGCAAACTCAAGCTTAAAGCTCCAGCAGCCAGCAAAGCCACTAACTAACCGAGAGTAAAACCAAACTCCTTTCGGTCAGTGTGAGCCTGACACCACGCACTCATGGTTCTTTTGCATTACTTTAACAAAAATACCCAGGGAGAAATCAGAGCTGTTTACCAACCTCCTGTGTGAAGGAGACATATCGTTAACACTGTGACAGCACCCCACCGCAAGAGAAACAAGACAAAACACATCTCTTGAAGGAATAATGTCATCACACTCCTGCCCCCCTTAAAAATAATGAAACATCAACATATGAATATAGCTTCATCATCAAAGTCTTTAGTCTCACGCTACTGGTACTTTACACATGTATACTTAATATATATTGATACACAAATTGTATCTGAACTCTGAAAATGCAGACATTCAGCAATATATTCCATTCCAGTCAGTTTCTTCCATCAATAACGACCTCTGTCCTCCTTCATAAAGTCATGAAAACGCATCAGGAATTATATTCTCATGCTCTGCCACATGCACAATTCTCAAATTGGATGGCTGTAACAATAAACTCCAACTAAAAAGACTTTTTAATCCTTAATGTTGTTCAAAAACAGTACAGGGTTATGATCAGTATACACAATCATCAAAGAAACATTACTAGACACATAAATGTTCAAATGTTGCAAAGTCAAGATCAAAATCAATGTCTCTTTCTCAATGGTGAAATATTTCTCTTGATGAATATCCAACATTTGGAAAATGACTAAGTAGGTCTTTCTGTATCCTTATCTTCTTGCAAGAGTACAGCACTGGCACCCACATCACTCACATCAATAGCCACCTTGAATGGCTTTGCACAATTGGGTGTTGTTAACACTGGTGCAGTGGTCCACACAGCTTTCAGACTATCAAATGCATTCTGACACTCCTCTGTTCACTGAAACTTTCTGTACTTCTTCAACAAGTAAGTCAGTGGAGCTACCTCACTGCTAAATTTCAGTACACACTTCCGGTAAAGAAACACTCAGAACAAGGAACTGCAGTATCTCCCTCTCTGTCGACGGTGGGGGATATTCCTAAATGACCTTTGTTTTAACATCCTATAGGGCCATCTGTCCATGTCCAATGGTATGGCCTTGGAATGTGACTTGGACTTTTGTAAACTCACTCTTAGCCAGGTTTATCACCAAGCCTAGCTCCTGAAATCAATCAAACAATCCTCCTAGATCCGAAGTATTCCTTCCCTGCGTGACTAAAAATCATCAGATCGCCTATGTAAATCATGCAATTGGGTATTCTCAAAATGATCTTCTTGGTTAATATTTGAAATATGACCAGTGTATTCTATATAGCAAACGGTATGACTTTAAACTGGTAAAGTACATTTAGTGTGACGAAATCTGAGATTTACTTTGCTCTTTCAGAAAAAGGTAGCTGCCAGTAACCTTTTAGTAAGTAAAGTTTAGAAATATATGTTGTTTGTCCCACCTTCTCAATGTACACTTCCAGTCATGGAATCAGATTTTGTAACTGTATTGACTTTTGATAGTCCACATATAATTATTTTTACTGTGTAGTTTTGGTATCATCAATATGAGTGACCTCCATTCACTGCAAATCACTTCAATTACTTCAACTCAGAGCATGATTTCAATATTTTCTTTTTGAACCTGTGCTAATTTTAGAGACTATAAGGTTGTTGCTTAATGGGAACAGCATTTCCTAACATTTATGTTATGCATACTCAATTTAGTTCTTCTCAGCTTATATCCACATATGATTCCATGTGATTGCAATTACTCTTTCAGGTCATTTTGATTCTACACTGAAAGGTAACTCAATAATTCATTCCTATTTCTGAGAACTTCCTCATTGTCCAACTTAATTTTGAAAATGTCAAACTCAGAGTAATCTGGATTTGGTTATTTACTCCAACTTGTACCAGTAACACATTCTCCTTTTGCTTTCCTTCCTTATCAAAATATCATTTCAGCATATTCACATGACACACTCTGTTGAATTTTCCTTTGATCTGGCATTCTTATTGTGAAGATGGTGTTATTTTAAAGAGGTTATTTTTTCCTTGTTGTTGAAGAGAGGTTGTAAAGCAGAGATACCAAGCTGGCTACTGAAGACCACTTGAGTAAACAGCTTGAGAGGCCTTGAATTTGTTTTAAGGCAGCCTGAATGGGTATGGCCAGCTCTCACTCATCCATTTTTCTAAGTAGCATCAGAAGCCATTAGGGTCTCAACAGAGTTGGAAGATTCAGTGAATGTCTTCTGGCTGCTACACTTTCTGAATTTTTTCTTGATGTTTTTCCTTCTGGATTGGAGAACTGCATATGACAATGTGTGTCCGAATTTTCTTTTTTTTAAGCCAAGGGGTGTTCTTATGGGATGTTACTATTTTGGAACAGTTAATTAATAATAACTACTTTATAGGTTATTCTGTAACGTTTTCCAGTAAAGTTATTCTAAATTCCTCTTTCTTTGGTAGTATTTTAACCACAGTGCCTAAATAAATTATGTTTTGCCTAATGTCCAGTAGTTTGACCAGTGGCATTGCATCTGGAACAGACACTTGACATTTAAATTGAATTGAATTAGCTTTGTTATCACGTGTACTCGAATGAGTACAGTGAAAAGTGTATAAGTCACCACTTGCTGCACCATCTTAGATACAAAGGTACCTAGGTACAATCCTTAGTTACAGAATAGAGAAATAAAGAACTAAAAACTTATTTTGCAGCTCTACACAGTATAACCATTGGTCAAAGAAAAAAACAAGAAGCAAAGTTAAAAAGACAACATCACCTCTCCAAAGGCCCTCCACAGCAGACCAGTGCAGGAGGTCTCCACATTGTCTGACCGCTGGCTGCCACCACGTTCTGCACTGTGCCACAGGTCGCTGACATCTTTGCTCTGGCCCCTGGTTGCTGTCATCCCTGCTTCGGGCCACTATTCGTTGTCATTTCCACTTTGGGCTGTTGCTCGCTGGCTTCCTGGCCACTGCTCCTGGCCACTGTTTGTCGGCATCCTCGCTTTGGTCCATTGATCACCACTGTCCCTGCTGCAGCCACTGGTGCCCCCACTTTGGGCTGCTGGTCACCAGCATCCTTGCAATTGCCTTTAAAATAAGAAAAAGTTAGATTCTAGGCTACCTTCTTAAAATATTTTGACAGCGTCTGGTCTGGTCCATAATATTATCAAATAATTCACATCGCTCAGTTTTCTTCTGGTTTGGTAAGGCCTACTAAACCTTGCCTTGAGAGGTTTACCAACCACTTACGTTAATATTTTATCTCCATGGGGAAAACTGTAGATTTTTGATCGCTTGTCTGTTTCCTGTTCCATCACATGCTGTGCTACTTTCAAATGCTGCCAAAGCTAACACACCCGCATGATTTAATCTCTCTGTAAAATTTGACACATAGTCTAATACTGTAGTTTCTGAACATTGACTCACCAATATTTTCTAAATTTATTTAAATCGTCCTCTCAGTCATGTCAAAAAAAATTCAAATGGACTGAACCTAGTTGATTCATTAGGCGTGTCACTAATTGCAAAAAGTATGAATGCAATTCCTTTATTCCAATCCTCTGGATACTCCAGACTACAGGTCATCAACATGATCTTTAAAGTTTGATGCCACTGTTCTAATGTTCCCTGCGATGCTGAGTGGTACAGTTAGGAAATATCTCTGAATATACTTCCTGAAACACGTTAGTTATCTGATTTTCCACTGGCTTTTTCATCACAGTAGGCATCATTCCCACGTGTGACGTAGCTGTATCAGTACCGAGGATAAACTGTAATTCTGGAACAGAGAATTTCTCTATTACTCCTACTGCCACTTCATCTCATTTAACCAATTCCCTGGACCCCAACACCTCACCTTCACTAACAACCCAAGGCCTCCTACTCTCCATCAACCTCTTCATCTCCAACTGCTGTCGTGACATCGATTGCCTCAACCTCTCCACCCCTCTCACTCACTCCAACCTCTCCCCCACAGAACGTGCAGCCGTCTGCTCCTACCCTAACCTCACTATCAAACCCATGGATAAGGGAGGCACAGTAGTGATATGGCGCACTGACATTTACATAGCCGAGGCCAGGCACCGACTCTCTGACACCTCCTCCTACTGCCCCCTCGATCAGGACCTTATCCCTGACCACCAAAACACCATCTCTCAAACCATTCATACCCTCATCACCTCAGATGACCTCCCACCCACAGCCTCCAACCTCATCGTTCCCCAACCCCGCACCTCCCGTTTCCATCTCCTTCCCAAAATCCACAAACTTGCCCAGTTGACCCATTGTCTCTGCCTGCTCCTGCCCCACTGAACTTATCTCCACTTACCTTGATTATGTTTTCTACA